TCACAGCAGACTCCAGCCCTCTGTCTTCTACAACCATTTTCACCTGGGGCACCCATGTAACAGCTCGTCTTGGCCAGACACTGTAGCCGGGTTACTGGCATCTCACAGGAGGGATTCTTTATAGAACACCGCTTAAATGGATTTTATTTATTTTTAACAACATGCTTCATTCTGCCACCTCCATCCTTTCATTCTCTGACAAACGCTAAATGTCGGGCCTAACACTAGCTAAATGCCCCTTTAAAAAGTTGGATTTCAATCTAGAGATATATCAGTAGTAAGAAAGCTTCCTGGTGTTAATTTTAAAGCACTGGTATTTCATGCTGACTTGGGAAATCATCCCTGGTTTTTGGCATCAGGCAGAGGATTTGGAAAGTGACATTAACAGATCTACTTTCTTTGAAGGACTTGGGAGTCATTTCTTGACTTCTGCCTAATGAAGAAGTGCTGCCTTCGTTAAATTTATATTTATGGCTATATAGTAGGTCATTGGCTTGTTTTATGTCTCCAGGTTTATGGAAGGTTATCTGCCATGGTCACCTTGTGGCATCTTGGCCAGGATTGTCTCACAAAGAGACAATTGTATCTGAGCAGGATTTTTCCCGTGGAGATATGGAAATGATCAAATTAATATAGAGGCGATGCCCAGGGACAAGGCTCTTGCCCTGAGCTGCCAAATGAAGTTACTATTAGCATCTGTTTTCACAGTACACCTTTAGTTTGCCCTGGCAAGGCCAGATCCTCAGCTTCTGTAAAGCAGCAAGGCTACATGGACTTCAGCAGGGCTGACATGATTGATAGTGGTCCTCTGGCCTCTCAGGAGCCTCTCTGTTTCTGTCACTTCACCAGCTGATCCTCAGTCTGTACATTACACCATGTTTAATCTCTTAAATGTCTGTGTGTTGGATGTAAGATCTCCATGAGTCTGACCACAAGGAAAGCTATTTCAAATGTTATCTATGGGCACATTTGCGCAGATAGTCATGAGCACATCCAAGGTCTTTTGATGATGTTACCACTTAAAGACATGCTAGTTCCGGTTCAAAAGCCCCTTTAAGGTGCTTTATGATATCCCTGTCCCTCATCTAGTGTCTCCTATATCCCTATGGCTCTTACCAGTCCTTACTCAGCTATTTAGCTTCTGGGCCACAGGGGGCTTACACCCTGGCACGGACAGCATGCAGAGGAGCTAAGGTCTGTTCCCAGCCCCACATGCCCATGTTCAACTAATATTTGCAGTAACAGAGAAGACTGGCCAGCTGGATGGGGAGAAAGGGTGGCTGGGACAGGGTAACTCTCCTACCTTAGCGCAGTATGATCTGTGTGAAGTCCACAGGGGTGCACACCCTATTAAGTTATGTGTATCTTATGGAGGAATAAAGCAACCTTCTCTCACGGTCTCCTTGTACTGAGACACAGAAATGATTCATGTCTCCCCGCCACTTTGAATTTTAGCACATGGTGTGCTCCAGCCTACAGTCACACGTAACCGCTGGGGCAGGTTGGCTCTGGATCGTGAGCCCCTTGTACATCTGAGCCCTTGCTGAAATTCTCATGGGTCACTAGAATGTAGGAGGGCTGTCACTTTACTGAACACAGAATGGCCACAACTTCCTCAAATGTCTAATCTGTGTCTTGAGATTTCTGGATCGATACCAGCCGTTGGCTTCGTCCACACTACAGCTGTGAGCGCAGACAGTTATGCCCTTTGCTAGGTTTAATTCATCTGGCAGAGTGAGCAACAGCATGAAGATATGCTCATGGCTGCCCAAGCTACCTTGGCTTCGTGCCGGGGTACCCAGCCAACCCTGGAGTCTGTGTCCCTGCATCTTCATAGGCTGGGTTGGCCAGCATGGACACATCCACTGTACTGGAGTCACATCTTCATTTGCTGAGTAAACCACACTCTTCAAGGTAAGGAAGACGAGTTCTCCACTGAGCTAAAGTCATCACTTTTGTTTTTAAGAGCTGCCAAGTTAAATTCCTGCAGGTGGTGACTCACAACCACTGTTTTTCCAAAACAGCAAAGGTAGGGTATGAGACTACAAATAAAACATAGAGCCCCAAGCAGGGGTTGCTGTCTCCCCATGCTGTCTAGTCCTACAGCCCAGGGATGCTTTCAACTCACTCCTTTTCAAGAGCGTCCAGGGATGGTTAGGTCAGTGTGTTAGACCAGCCACCTTGCATCTTCTTTACCTATGATTAAGTGATTCCCAGCTTGGAGCAATTCCCAGCTTGAAGCAAAGCTGACTGAAATCCAGGGGAAAGTCTTTCCACTGTCTTGCATGTGCTTTGAGCCAGGAGGAAAATACCTGCATGATCTGGGGCACAAGGCAGTCTCCTGAAAAGGAAACACCTGGTTAGATACTACCCTTGCTGACAAGTCGTAAAGATTCAGGAAAATAATGAACTCTAAAAGCTTTGTGTAGGAGGGAAAAAAGCTGCATTTAAAGACCTGTTGTTCCAAACCCTTTGAATAAAGCATTTGCCCAGTTTTAATATTCAATCTTAAAGGCAAACCATGATTTTCAGTGTATATTTCCTAAGCTGCATGGCTTGGTTATGGTGGGCAGAGTATGGCTCCAAAGGCAGGCAAGATATCCACAGATGGAGTGAGGAGAGCAGCTCAGCAGTGAGCTGTGTGGTCCTGTTCAGGACATATACTCAGCTATAGCCAGGAGAGTGGGTAGTTCCCACATGTGCCCATCTAAGGCAAGCAATAAAGGAAAGGACCACAGTCAGACAGGTACTGCTCAATGACTTCTGCCATATCAATGAAGAGGCAGTCATTGCTAATTGTCAGCATGTCAGAGAGAGAACGAGCATGCCCAAGTCCAGCCTCAGCTGGAGACGAAGGAAATGCTGTAAGTGTATCTCCTGAGCAGCAGAGACAATTTCTTCTAGCTCTATAAACAGACGAGTGCAACCAAGGAAGGGCAGTTGCCTTTGGGGCAGACATGGTAGATCATCTCCTTTACTGCAGACTGCAAAACCATAGTTGCCTTAAAAAGATTTGCTCCCTTTACCTCATGTCCCGTCACCTTCTTCAGGAGATATTTTCTACCTGACAGGACTCATTCATTTTGGGGGGTCCAAGTTATTCTGATCCATTCTCCCAAAGGGGTACTGGAACTAGTGTATCACTCAACCTTTCATAGATGTTCAGTTTTCTTCTGGAGCAATATGCTGCACATTCTGTTTTTAGAGGAAAACAGTTTTGAGCAAAGGTTAAAAATAATAGACTTTAGTTGCTTCCTTCTTCAAGAAGGCAGGAATAAGTGGAAAGACTTTTTATATTTTCCAAGCATTTCCTCCAGTTTCCTGGAGAATCTACTCTAAAAATTTGCATCTCTACTATGCCTTCCACTGATCTCCCACAGGTTTTAATGTGTTCTCCTCACACCCCTTTTCAAGCGATGAAAATACTTACAGAAGGGCAGTGCTTTCCAATTTCACATACACACATATTGAGGGACCCGCCAAAAGACAGCTAGGAAATCAACCAAACAACTTCCAACTTAAGACTGCAATCCCACTTTTCTTCCTGTGACTATCTCATCCTCAAAGTCCTTGTGATCTAGTAATGCTCATAATGAACAGGAGCCCCTAAGCCTTAGCCAGCTAATTGGGTTTGTCCCCTCAAAGTTCGGTCTTCTCACCATTCCTCCTTGTGTTTTGGGAGATAAGTTCAAGACCTTGCCAGCTGCTATCATGATCAATGGTGATTTTTGAAGTTAAGGTTCAAGCTGGTATTTGCATCTGTAAGAAACACTTTGTCCATGTTCCTTGGGTCCATAACACTCACATTTGCCAATCTCCCCCACACTTCAGCATACAGTCAGTGTCTCTCCTTGGGTAGGTCAATGGCACTAGATTTCCTTCTAAGAGACCCACACCTTTGCAGCCTCCACGCTCCTCCCTCCAGCCACACCCCTATGCTTGTAAGAAGGAAGAAGGTGGGATGGAGGGGGGAAAGTGGCAGCTCCCTAAGGCATCATCCTACAAGTACAAAGCCAGAGGGACTGCGTAAATGTAGAACTGTGCAGCACCAATAAATACAAATTAAACTCTTAACAAGAAGTGAAATATTAGGGCCAAGGTGACATTTGGACTGGAGGTTCAGCCAAGCTTTGCTTTAAATATTTTATTGCTGCACATAAAGAAAGAGCTTATCCAACATGTTTCTCCCTCTCTCTTTTTT